GGGGAGAGTACCACCCACAGTCATTCTAAGAAGTGAACTCTGACCTTAAGACTGAACATGTAATTTCTTCTATGTTAAATAAAATTTGTAATCTAATTTTATAAATTTGGGAGTGCTTCAAATATGACATTAAAACAAGGTGTCGTTAAAAGTAGGTTTTTTAACATTATCAATGTATAGTATAGTATAGTATAGTAAAATCGTGGAACCAATAAAAATTTGACGTTATATTAGGGTTGGTGTTACATCCGATGACGTTATAATCAAGTTAAACTGTATATTGTTTGTGCAAAATAAAAAAAAAAAAATTTCAGATGATACAATAACCACAATTATTTTTTTCAAAAATGGGAAATTTTTGTTACACATTGACAAAAATTCAACCCGGGCCAACATGCAACAGAGAGAAATTTCAAAATTGGATAGGTTAATTTCATCAAAAATGCATCATGGATGACCTCGTGGTAGTGGCCAGTGAAGTTTGAACGATCGCGCTCAAAAGCAGCGATACCAAAGAAGATTGGAGAATGAGAACAAAACCCACCTTGAGCGTCAAAGTGATTCCACTTAGTAGTGAAACATAGTCTTGTCCCAAATACGGTTTTGCCATTTTACTTGTTTTTCACTTGTGATTACATACTATGTCCTCAAAAGTGAATAAGCTTCAGACATTAATACATATGGATGAAAAAGACAAGTACCAGGTGTATAAGCTTAAATCTGCTGTTTGCTAATAGATGGCTGTAAGGTAATAGATGGCTAATACTCTGTGCCAAATATCAACTCTTGACATGTATTCCTTCATACCTCTAAGCTGCTAACACAGCAGGCAGTATGATTTTATAAACAAGACATAGTTTTGTCAATAATGTGATGAATTAACTATTTTACATCATTAGTGAAAACAAGTCTGAAGATATAAAAGTTTTACATGACGCCATACTTCTTTTTGATGATTTTGACATCTGTCAACATCAATCAGTGCTCATCATCAGAAATTTCATATAACAACATATATTTTTCCTTTGGTAATCATGTCTACTTTTGTGCCAGAAAAAGATATGTGGCAAGCTTTGTTTTTCTGCTTCAATTTGAATAAATCGGCTGCTGAAGCACATCGAATGCTTGTGGAGGCCTACGGCAACAGTACTTTATCGAAAACCACGTGCAGAGATTGGTTTCATCAGTTCAAAGATGGCAATTTTGAACTGAACGACAAGAAGTGTGAAAATTGGCCCAGGAAGGTTGAGGTAGGCTCTTTTGGATGAGAACAATACCCAATCGCAAAAAATGCTTGCTGAGCAATTGGGTGTTACTCAATCAGCCATTTCCATGCGTCTACGTGCCATGGGAAAGATTCAGAAGATCAGAAAATGGGTGCCACATGAATTGGACGATAGGCAGATGGAGTGACACCAAAACACATGCAAAATCTTGCTCACCAGACAAAAAATAAAGTCATTTCTGCATCAGATTGTAACTGATGATGAGAAAAGGATATATTTCGAGAATCCCAAACACAAGAAATTGTGGGTTGATCCAGGCAAACCATCAACATCTTCAAGACCAAATCGCTTTGGATGGAAGACAATGCTGTGCATTTGGTGGGATCAGCAGGGTATCATCTACTATGAGCTGTTGAAACCTGGTGAAACTGTCAATGCCCACCGCTACCAACAACAACTGATCAAATTGCACTGTGCTCTGCGTGAAAAAAAGGCCAGATTATCAGCAAAGACACGACAAACTGATTTTCCTCCATGACAATGCACCATTGCACGCATCAACATTGGTCCAAAACTACTTGAGATACTCAACTGGGAGGTGTTACCCCATCCCGCTTATTCACAAGACCTGGCCCCTTCCAACTATCACCTGTTTTCATTGATGGGCCACACGCTCACTAAGCGGCATTTTGATTCTTACAAAGACGTCTGAAAATGGCTTGATGAGTAATTTGCCTCGAATGAGAAGGATTTTTTTTGACATTATCCACACATTTCCCGAGAGATGGAAAAAATGTGCCGCTAGTGAGGGAAAATACTTTGAATAAATTTGTTTTTGCTTTCTAAGAAAAAAACATGTGTTTTTCTGACTAAAAAACAGCAGATTTAAGCTTATACACCTGGTATGCCTAATATGAAAATAGGGTAGCATAGTCACAGCATTTTATTTTTTTTTTAATTGTTCATATTATGGACAATTTCCTCATGCAATCATGTTTGTTACCACTATAATCTGAAAATACCACCATATCTGAAAATAAATGTAAAGAAATAAAAGTTTTATTTAATGACATAAAAATTTAAATCTACAGTGACTTGTTTTTGTTAAACAGGAAATGATGTCGCAATTTTAATCTCTTGTTTTATAAGCTTTAAACACAAGGAATAATAATACCAATGCAATAAAATAATTATATTACGCGTAAAAAGACTAAACTAAAATTATAATTCTAAAGGTTCAAACATACATGATCTAGGTCCAGTGCTTAGCATCTTGTCTAATATGTGGCTATTGTCACTTATAAGTCTCTGAAAGTTTCATGTCTCTAAGCTAAAAATTCAATTTTCAGAAGCCCAGTTTTTAGAAATGGTTGAAAAGTGGGTCCTCTTCTTTGGACAAGGAGTTGTTTGTGTTTAAGGCTACATGATTACAAAAAGTTTCGTTTGGAGATCCAAATGTCTGGCCCTCTCTTTGTCAAAAAGCTTTTGCTTTCCAGATGCCAAACTGATAATTCTACCAGCACTTGCATTAATTAGTAAGTAAAGCTGGTGGTGATAAATAATTTGAAGTGGTGAGAAAAATTTTAAATTGGTGAATGGTTGGTGATATTTTTAAATTTTCCAGAGCAATCCCTGCCTGTATAAGTAATATTTATTATTTTTTATACACAGTTGTAAATTGAGTTACAACTAAGTTTAATTCTGTGACCCATCATGTTCAAATAATGATAATAAAGAAAATATAGTTCCCAAAGATGCACATAATTTATACACTAATTGCTTATGTATAGTATTTATATAGTAATCTAAAACTGACTCATTTTTATGCTTATTAGACACAGTGTTAATAATTAAAGATTCATAGAAACAACTTGCAGGGAGTCAACAAAGTTCAAAGAAAAAAGAAACATACCAAGTTAGTATTGCAACCTGTTTGTAATTGATTTAATTTTTATTGTTACGTTTTACCTTTGTGGTTATTAATTCCTTTAACCTTATTGTAAAGTCCCCAGACCAGGGTGGAAAACCTGTGGCATGTAGAAATAAATCATCTGGTACATAATGTATCAAACAATTTTGATTTATCACCTGTCTTTTGCAATCATCTTTTTGGTTTATCACCCAATCATTCTCTTTTCAATTAGCTTTTTTACATTTATTCTAATTAAAGCATATTCATTTAATCTCTTTAAAGATCATTACTTGAAGTCTAAAACCTTGGCGAACACAAACATCTCTAAAGCTAAGTATGCTTATTATAAGGCACACAGGCTCAAAAAGGTTTGCCATCCCTGCCCTAGAATGAGCACATCTGCAGAACATAATTCTGTTTTTGCTTTTTTAGCACTAATGGCCCAAACTTGAGTTGTAATTAAATACGTTTAAGTTAACAAGTTACTGTTATATATAGATATTTTTTTTATTGCTCATTGCATTATTACATTTAAAAATAATTGTTATATCAATTATTTCTATCAAAGAATATTTGTAACTAGAAACAAAACAGAAACAAATCATTAGCAAGAATGATCAATTGTTGAACTTAAAAACTATTTTTAATATTCTAGTTTTAGCTGTCATAATTACAGATTGTTGCAAGTCAGTGTCTTATTTTATATTGGAATTATTAACTTAATCTTTATTTTTCTTTTATATATTTCCTCCAACCTTAGTTTATCATAAATTTGAAAAAATCTCTCTACAAAATATAATGTAATCTTTTATGGATATAACTAAATACTTTTGAAATAATACGATACCTCATTCAATTCTTTCTGCAACTTTTCAGCTTCTTCATCAGTTAATTCCTTTACTCTTGGTTCATTATCTAAGTTTGCTTCTTCTTGAGCTTTACGTGCTTGTCTTTCTTTGCGTCTTCTTTCCTCTGCTTCTCTTTCTTGTTCTTTTTTTGCTTTTTCACTTAATGCTTTAGCTTCATATTTTTTAAATTTTTCTAATAGTAGCTGTTCAAATTAAATTTCAAAACTATAAATTAAAAACAAAATACAAAAATACTAACTGAAAATTTTAAAAATGAATAATGTTCATATATAATTTATTCTATTATCATCAATTTTTATAAAGGAAAAAAATATATATACATACATATTAGAATTTTAATGAAATGTTTTCATAATTAATAAACCAACACAAATTGCATTAATTAAAATTTATTTTTATTTAATTAATTTTCTATTATTGATCTCATTTTAAGTTCCATCTCTTGACTTCTCTCCTCTTTTTTTTCAAACAAAGAATATTTTTAACTAGAAACAAAACAGAAACCTTTATATTATGCAACAAACAAAATTTAACAATTACCTGTATATTCTAAGATTATGTTTAGTGTTTTGTTAACATTTAAATTTGCATCACATATTAAAATGTAAAAATTTTTAATATTGTTCAAAGTAATCTTTTTGAAATATTTAAATTTACTAATTCATTTATCACACTTCAACACTTTTCAGTTTACAGACAAAGCTTGTTCATGAAGCCAATATTCTGTTAATTGTTTCATGTTAACAAAAATTAAAAAAAAAAATTAAAATTTTACAGACAAAATTATAAATTCAAAAATGAAATAATGCCTTAATTTAAGGAATTAATAGTTTGTGTAGCCTTCTTGGTGACAAATATCATCATGTATGCAATACAGCATTGAATCAACGAATTTAATCAACAGCTCATCTGAAATTTCATCCTAACATTTTTGACTGACTTGTTTTAGGTCTGCAACTATTGAAAATTCTCTTATATCCTTGTAAACAGACTTAACAAGAAGCCCACACAGATTCTCCATTGGATTCAGATTTGCAGGCCATGACAAAACTTCATTATAGTTTCATCATTTTTGAATTGTGGTAGGATATGTTATCTTGCTGAAAGATAAATTTTACACATTCAAGAATGTGACCATACTTACTAAGTTGAACTTCCAATGGAATGCAATGGAATTTATCAATCAAACATCCAGAAACAGACGATATCAGTCTTTTATTGAGCTGAAAATGCAGCCAAGCCATCACAGAGCCACCAACCATTTGTCAACTCATTTGCACATTGCCTTCAGCTCTTAAATCATGCCCATAGTCGAGTTGAACAGGAAAGTCCAGCAACACCTTTGCTTTTGCTTGCTGAAAACTTAGATTGAGTTGCAAGTAAACATAACCACCTTTATCATGAGATGATAAACAATATTTTCTTCCATGACACTTTTTTGTGGCACCCACCAATTTCATGTTTTATAACATTAGCTCAGCATGTTGAGAATGGCTAATTGCAGCAGCAATTTCCTTCTGAATTGCTCCACTGTCATAAAGTCTCTAAATTTGTATCATTTCAGGTTCTATGAATTGGTATGCATGTAGCATGTTTCTTGTTCTCTCAATAATTATTAAATATTTATCACTTCATACCTATATGTAAATGTTTGATATATCTTCATTTGCATACTTTTGCCTATGACTGTACATGAAATTTACACTTAACTTAGTTTGTTTCTAAAATCTTGATTTTTTTAAAAATATTTTGTTTTCAAATAATTTATGAGTATAAAACTATTTAACATTAAAATGATGGTTATAACTGATTATTTTTGCATATTACATTTCATTTAAACAATTTATTCATTTACATTCTAAAATCATTATTTGAACTACATTTTTGTCTACCAATGTTTAATTATTGCAAAATAATGATTACTTCTGCTGCATGGCATTACATCAGTTAATTCTCATCTCTTCCTAATATTGAGGCAGAAGTAAATTTTCTTTTATACTATACATTTAAATCTTTGAAGAATTTATAAATACATTCGGTGATCGGTTAATGAACAGTTTGGACAGCGAACAAATTGGATAATGAACACTTTCACAAAAGATTTTTATGCTTGGACAATGAAAACTTCACAGAACAAACAGAAAAAGAAGCGACATAAAATAGTAAATACCGATTAGTCTTTCCTTGTCTCTAGGTGACAATTTGAAATCTTTGGGAGCTCTGAAAGCGTCGACATTAATGCTCAACCCAATACCGGTCAGATAGTATTCCTCCAAATTTTGAAATTCTCCCTTATAATTCCAGCTTTTTGTTTACCTTTCTGACAAATAATTTTTTATAGTCTTTGCGAGACTGTTGGACGGACACATGTTAAGTTTTCCGTCGGGGTTTATTTACGAAAGGTTAGAGTTTAACTGTCCCATCAGACATTTGTTAACGTTTTAATTCCAAATTTCACATTTCATCTGGGCCTTGCATTTAAAATAATTTTTTGTGCGCTAGTTGATTTCTGTTCTCTGAATTTTTGTAAGCACTTTTCTGAACTTTTTATTTAAAAAAGAAACTGATAATATTATGGAGCCTAAAAAGAGGAGTGTCAAGAACTGTGCTCACTGTAGAAATCAAGCAGAGATAATAGTCAAGGTAGAGAATGGGCACAAGATGTCTGATGTTGCTAGGCAGTATGGTTTGAACATGTCTACAGTAGGCACAATCTTAGCTATGAAAGATATATCAAGAATTCTCAAGCTGCTAACGGAGTAATGAAAATCACATCTGAGAGATAAAGAGCATTGAACAGCTCATAATAGAACTTGAAACTGATGTGACGACAGAAGAATTCCAAGAAACTCTGAGATGTGCTTTCTTCTAAAGACAAAAGAGGACCAATGTTGACATCTGCTACTAAAGATCATTTGAAGAAGTGGAAGGATGTCAGAACAATGGTCATTCAAAGTGGCATCCAAACCAGAATGAGGTTAATAGGCTTGGAGATCTCTATGATTACAATGCTATTAATTACTTCTGAAAAATTCTGAAGAAAAGAAAAAAGCAATTGACATTGGACAGATTCATTGACCCCCACAAATGGAAAAAACATGACTAATAAAAATGCAGGCTTGCATATATATGTATTTTTACTATTACATATAAACATAGTAAAAAAGTGTATATTTTTTATTTTTTAGAGTCTCCAGAATGAATTAACCAAATTTCCATAAAAACCTATGGTAAATTGATAATTGGTTAACGAACAAAGTCTTGGAACGGATTATGTTCGTTAACCAATCACCCACTGTATATAATAAAAGTCGAATGATTCTTCTGTTTTCATAATAAACTCCTCTTATATAAAAGCATTTGATTTCTGACATTTCCCCTACAGTTTTCTAAATCTCTCCAATGAGTTTCTTCAGCTTATATGTATCCAAATATGCTAATTTTTAACTATAATAAATTATGATTATTCTCAAGTAAAATGAATTACAAGAAACACTAAATCATGTGCTAACAGAAAACAGTCAATTTTTTTGTCTTTTGATATAATTTTAGTCATGTACAGTTGAACCTATATCTCAAACACATTTATCTCGAAAACCTCTGAATCTCAAAATTTATTTTTGCCCTTCATTTTCAGCCTAACTTCAATATATTTTCTATGTTTATCTCAAATAATTTTTCCCAAATCTCTATCTCAAATTATGGACTGAAGTGTCAATTACAATTTCAAAACCAGCAACTACATTTTGTTAGCATAAATTGCAGTTGAGAAATATCTCTGCAATACAGTACATATTGACAAGACTATGTCTTGTTTATAAAATCATACTGCTGCTGTGTTACCAGCTTAGAGGTATGAAGGAGTACAGTACATGTCAGGAGTTGCAATTTGGCACAAAGTATTAGGTACCTAAATCATTTGCGCATAAAAAAATCCAGACTTGTAGATAGTCGGGACCAAGAACAGAGTCAAAATAAAATATAAAATGGCAATTCTCTCTACAAAATGGCAAACCAAAGTCAGGTGGTGAGAGTGCCACCCACATTCATTCTACGAAGCAGATGCTGACCCTAGGACAGAACACACAGTATTTTCTTTGTTAAATAAAATCTGTAATCTAATTTTGTAAATTTGGGAGTGCTTCAAATATGACATTAAAACAGGGTTTTATGTCATTACAAGTAGGTTTTTTAACATTATATAGTATAGTAAAATTGTGGGACTGATAAAAATTTGATGTTATATTAGGCTTGTCATTACATCTGATGTTATAATCGGGTTAAATTGTTTTTTTATTTTGCACAAACGTTATATTGCGCAAAATAAAAAAACAATTTCGGACGATACAATAACCACATTTATCTTTTTCAAAAATGGGAAATTTTTGTTACGCATCAACAAAAATTCAAACCGGGCCGACACGCAACAGAGAGAAATTTCGAAATTGGATAGGTTAATTTCATCAAAAATGCATTGTGGATGATCTCGTGGTTGTGGCTGGCAAAGTTTGAACGATCACACCCAAAAGCAGCAATACCAAAGAAGATTGGAGAATGAGAAAGAGATCCGCTTTGAACGTCAAAGCGAGTCTCCGAGACAGTCTTGTCCCAAATACAGTTTTGCCATTTTACTTGTTTGCAATTAATGCTGCTTTTCTCTGATTGGCTAGGAGTTTGGCTTACATCTTATTAGTCTAAGAAAGTCAGGCATCAAAAACTATTGACAAACTGTTTCTGTTAAGGTATGTCAAAAATGTTTTATTTATACCTAATACAAGTATTACTGTACAGTATTATACGTACTTGCTATTGTACTAATAAAATATACTGTACCTCCAATCAATCCTATTAACCTATTATTGTGCAGGAACCTCTATATCTTGAAACCTATCTTAAATTTTTTCTTATTCCCATGAAATTCAAGATAGACAGACTCAACTGTATATTTTTTATATTTCAACTCATCACCAGCTGCTATCCTTTATAATGTTCATCTATAACAGGTCTCCAAACTTTTTTCAGCAGGCCACATAACAGAGAATGATGAATTTGGGCCACACAACCATTTTGTTCAATTCAGTATACTGAATACACAAAAAATAAAGACAACCAACATATTTATTTACCAACAAACAAACACAATCACTGCAGCAAGCGCATAATCACTTTCCTTAGAAACTTC